TTCTCACCTGTCATTGATATCTTTGTATCGAGCCACCTACCACTACCCAGAAACCTAAGAAGTGCAATGCCAATTGTGCTGTTTTCAGGTGGCCCCTCTCCGCTACCGCTTGGACCAGGTCCTGTGGTAGGGACAGGTATATTATTCGAGATAATTCATAAAGTGAATAAGTAAATGACTGTATTTGGAATTATAAATGTTTTAAATTGTAGAAAGGAGCTGGTCATCTTACCTATCACCCAAACTGTAGTGAAATTATGGACAAACCAGAAATAGCTGATTTCCTAAAAACTCAGAGACCTAAAAAAGTTTCCATTTCCAGCAGTCCCTCAGCCTAACCAAGGGCCAATGCCTATGATAGGAGCAGGTATTTTTTTGCATTATCATGAAGTAATAGAATCAACGACTGTATTTGTTGTTGCAAATGTCCTCAGTCTTAGAAAAGAGCCGGCTAATTTACCTGACACCCACATTGTAACGAGATAATGAGCACATGGGAAACGTAGCTAATTTCCTTGGAATTTCAGGAATTAAACAAAAAATATAGCGATTTTTCTAGCAATCGATTTATGTAGGAATTTCTATTTCCAGGAAATCCTCCGATTCTTGGACCAGGACCGGTATCAGGCCCGGGAGTTGCTATACAAGGTATGTTCACTGCTTCTTCTTCCTCTGATTCTTCTTATCCCTAACATTAATCCCGCTCCGTGGCAGGGCTCGCTATTTTTGTCAGTCATCTTAACTTCCTTCTATCTGCGGCATTTTCTGCCATTAGTTTTGGCTTCGGTCCCTCCTTGTATTTCTTGATCACGTCCAGCCAACTCTTCCTTAAGGCTCTTCGCTCCCCTTGAGCCTCGAACTCCATTGCTTCCCTTGTTGGATGATTCAATGATCCGTACTATCGTAGACGATGCTCATCTCATCTTCAGCTGGACAGGGGCTCTTATTGAGTAATTTGTATATTAAGTGTGTGCATTAATTCCCGCCCTTCTTTGCGTGCAAAAATATATTTATTACAAAAGCAAAACAAAATGTACATCTACCGATGTATTGTCCGTTATCAGCTACAAGCCTACAAGCCTATCAGCTTTGGCCATCTTTCTGGTAGCTTGATGATTTCGCTCCTGAGAAAAGCCCTCGTCTTTCAAGGCAACCCAGTCATCAACCCACTCCCACACCTCTTTGGCATTTCGAGAGCGTATATCTGCCAAACTGGCTTGCATGGACCGAAATATGCAATTCGAAGGAGCTAGATCCCGGGAGGCTGAGCAAACTATCCCATCCAAGATCTGCAGTTCTAATATGAGCATTCTTTGCATGATGGGGTCTGACGTTGTTGTGGTGGAACAGCACCGTGTGATGTTTTCTTGCTATTAACGTCCGCTTTTCGCGATTGGCTTGGATCTAATACGCTGCATTCCTTTTCGGATTATCGTAGAAGATCCATTTTCATCCAATGTCTCAATCCTGTTAAGAAAATGTGCCTATTTATGGTTTTCGAAGTTTTCCTGCAAGCGTGCTTCGTGCTTTTTTCTCACAGCTGGTGAGGGACCTGTTCCCTAAATTTGTATCTTCCCCATTGCGTGCAAGCGTTTCAAAATGATACGCGGTTGACATTCAGCTCCATAGTCAGCTCTGTTTGGGTCTGGGCCGGATTTTCTTCCGGCAATGCTTGCCACTGGGAATGCTGAATTTTTGGGCTGGCCTAGACGTTCCATGCCTTTCAAGTCGAGATCTCCACTTATGAATCGTTAAAACCATTCTCTGCAGGTTCGCGCAGATGAAGATTGATCTCCGTAAGTATCGAAAAGCAACCCGTGGGCTTCACCATATCACAACATGTCTCGCGCAAGGGACCTTTAAACTCGGCGGCGGAAATTAATGTACACACCTAATATTATCAGAGAGGTTTGCACCCCGCATGCGAGTGTAGGTGTCCTTCGTTTCAGAAGGAAAGGGGCAAGTATGAAAGCTATCGATATAGTGAGAATATGTTGGTAGTGTTGTAGATTACAATACATTGTACATATATATGTATCTAATATTTCAGGGAACAATCCGAACGGGCTCTAATTGATCACACTGAACCGCACTACAAACGGGAAATCTGTCAATCGAAGTTGAAATTTCTATTTAATACACATTTTTCTATCCACAGTCTCTCAATAAATTTTCAGAAATCTGCGTTTTCCATGTGATTGTAATTTAACAGATGAAGATTTTTACATTACATCCTTACAGAACGACGAATCACTGCTACCTGAGATGGTACGTACATAGGCAGGCACCCATTGTTGTCGAAGAGATAGGGTGAACGTTGCAAGTGACCTTTGTCAATGCTCACCGTAACGGCAGTGCATACTCAGAATGCTTAGGGAAAATCCCTGTAGAAGTTGTTTCGCAATCAGATAACTCGGGTGGACCAATGATTCAAGGACCAGGACCGGTAGTAGCTCCAGGAACTGGTGAGGTACCTTAGTTTGATCATTTGTACCAAATGAATAAGATAAACGGTTTTTCATTGCAGCTAATCCAGTATCCATTGGTGGATCTGGTCCTGTAATAATCCATGGAGAAGCTGTATTAAACCCTCCCCCCTGAATCAATGGAGCGAGGACCAGGACCATGATAATTCGTAGGAGTGCCGTATCGGTAACTTAACCAGACAAATAGATCAAGGACCAGGACCAAGATACTCGCAAAAGCTGTAACAGGTACAGTCAACAGAGCAAAGAGAAGTAAACAAGTTGTAGCATATTTGTTTCTAGCACTTCCTATACCTATTGGGGACCCAGGACCAGTGATAAAACTAGGAAAAGCTGTATCAAGCGGTTCACTCGTGCCAATGGATTTAGAATCTGAACTGGTTATACTTCCAAGAAAAACTGTGTCAAGTCCTACCTCTGAACCGAGAGATCAAGGACCATGTCCTGTGATAGTCCCAGGTTTCGTGAAAGGTACTTTAATTGATTCAGTTGGATCAAGTGTCTATGGGGTCGCTAGTGTCAAGTTACTTGTTCCAAACCGAAGGGAGTCATGTGTGCATGGTTACGGACTAAGCTTCTATCGTATATGTATATTTGTATATTTCTTTAAATTGCAGAAGGAAATACGGCTCCTCTAAAATAGATTCAGCTAGGCCAGGTTGGGAAGACAGCCGGATTCCAACTTCATTTATGGTTGTTAGGATTCAAACTGTTATTTCACTCATCAGATTATCTTTATTAGAGTTTGAATAAATTTTGTGACAGGTGGCTCTAGCACAACCATTGGGATTGCATCCTCTTGTATAGTCATCCCAGTTCAGAAGAGTTTCCTACGATTTTGAAAATGCAGGTCATGAGATTTGCCAAAGCTTTCTAATGCTGTCGACGAGGTACTGCGAGATAGGAAGGCTCCAGAATCGATCCAGGCCAGAATAATTTTCCTAGCAGAGGCACTGATACTACCCCTCCCCACTACCCAGTTCGTGCCCAGCACTGCTGCAACTGAATTGACTTCCCTTAATGGTTGTGTAGGGACGAAATGAGAAAGACAAAGTATTTGCTTATCTCTCTCTTCCACTTTTCCTTACTTAAGAAGGCTCTACAGAGGTCTATAGGGGCACAAGACTGAGGGACATATACAGTGAAAAACTCTAGCCCTTATGCCTTCATCAGAACTCCCACTGAGAAGAGACCTTATGGGAACACGGAAGGTAGATGGTCTATTCCTTAGACTAAAGGCTTCACACGAGTATTTATCGTTTACTCCACCTCTAACCGATTGACAAGATATGGTAGTCCATTCAAAGAAACCGAATCACTTGAGACTACAGAGACCAGCACACTAAGGCAGACAAATCTACAAGGAAATCGTCTGTAATAGACACTAAAAGTATCAGATGGGAGCGAAGTTGTGATCTGACGTCTCCAATCACCTTGCCACATCACCAGGGGCTCCTATCATACCAATAACGACATGCTCGTCAGAGCGACTTTCACAGAAATCACGAGCGATAACGTTTACAAATTTGGAATAATTTCAGCGGAAAGCCTCATTCTCACGAGTATGAAGCGGTCTTAATGGTTTTTTTCGAATTGTGGCATAATATTGAAACTACAAAGAACCACAAAATTAGGGCTATATATAGCGACCAAAAAAATAGCCCCTCCATCAGCTTCTTTTAGGTTCTTTTTTGCTCAAACGGCTTTCTTGTCCAGCTCAATAACCAATTCAGAATGTATTTTGTCGGCGTCATCTTTGCAATTACCACAGCTGTGAACGCTTTTCCTCAATGGGAATCCGACTATCCTTACCCCGTTATAAATCCAAGTAAGTTTTCCGACTAGTAGGCAAAAGTGTTAGTGATGTGCAGAAGATAAAGTTCGAGTAGATGGAAACCTTTCTTATTCCAGCTACCCCTGCACCCGCTGCTGAAGGACAAACATTGGTCAGATTGGACGGTAAATCAGTAAAAAAAGTTGATGAAAATGGAGTATGAAACTGACTGCATCCGTAGTTACAGATGATCTTAAATTAAGAAAGAATCTGATCAGATTGCGTAATGGAAAATCGTTAGTAGATGTCAACGTTATCATTGATATGACTGAACCTCAAGAGAATTTAGTGCTATGAACGAATTTTTTTTTGAAGGAAAAACTGTGTCCATTTCTGGACCTGGAGGAGTACCTCTTAATTTAACGCCTCCATCAGGGACAACATATCCAGGTAAAATTTTTGCGCCACGTTGTTGTAAGCATTTTCAAACTTAGAGGGGATCGGATCAGATTTTACTGATGGAAATTATTACGACGGGTTGCATATCAATGGTACACTAACTGAATATTTTATTTCGACCATATCTTACATGTGTTTACTATCCCTACGAGCAACATCTCGACTTGAAATCCTTCAAGTCTCAAAGCCATGGCTTATCCCGGAAAGTATATTGTAAACAAGGACTCATCTGAACGGGGACTAGGACTGATGGA